ATTGTTTGCAAGCGAACCACGAGCATGCCCACAACTTGGCTCGTGGGCGAGCTCACGAATCTCTCGTCGATCAAGCCAACACACTTGGCTTGTGCTCGGGTTCATTTAAGAACGAGTCCGAGCTGCTCATAAGTAGAGTTTTTCGAATCGACGAGCTACTCAATTTGATTGTCACCATTGCATATGCACAACGTTCTAAAACACCCCGAGCATATGTGCGCGTTTTAAAACACTACATGTAATACACTTGAATGTTGTGTCTGGAGAGTACTAAAATTGCCCTCGAAATCCTATCTTCAAATCACAGAGAGAAACAGATCGAAGACATCTCGTAGCCACAAATCTTAGCTCACGACAACCGTCAGCAATAGTGAAAATTTTGTTTTTTGGATTTCCTTTCACAGCCCCAAAGCTACACTCGTGCCCATGACTGGACCAATAGATAAGCAGATTTTCAGTTACATTTCAAATGGGAAAAAATCATAATTACAAATGTTTTAGAATATAATTTTAAAAATAACGAACTTTTGAAAAAAATTCAAAAACCATGTCATATGATATCTGATAAATGTTTTGATCTATTATTTATTTAAACATATCACAATAGCATATCCACAATCAAATGTTAAGTCACAAACACATCATTCATTAGTCACAATCATACAATTAGCCGGTCCCATTCACTATTTTCTCATCACCCCATCCACCTCATCCCACCTCTTCTCTCTTGTTCTTCACTCGTTTTCTTCACGCAACAACCACCACACTACTGCTGTCAACCTCTTCTCCTCTTGCTGGGGATTGGATCCGACAATGAGATTTAAGGATGTAGGATTGGAAACCCCACTCGTCCATTGATTAAGGCTATCTCCAATCCTGTACTAAAATTTGAGGTAAGTTTTGCACTATTTTGCAATAAATGAACAATGTTTAATCATTTTGTTCCTTTTTTTCATTCCTTACAATTTGTTTATCTGAAAAATTATTTTTTTATTTAATTTACTACTAAATAAATAATTACGTTTCGTTAAAAAATATTGAATTCCTTCATTGATTATTATTGTATAACAAAAATATTAATATTGAATTCCTTATCAAAAACATTAAATAATTACATTTCGTTAATTAACCAATTTTTTTTACAGTGTGAAAGAAAATGGCAAAATTGTACTAACCATTTTAGTGCAAAATGGTGCAAAGTATGGTGTTACATTGGAAGGATTTTGCACCATTTTTTGGTGCAAAATGTTGTTTTGGTCCACACATTGGAGTTGCTCTAAGGACCGTCACAAACCGCAAACTCAAATGCGCCTCTTCGGATGACGGTGGCCAGAAAAATCGCAAAAGAAATTGCCCCTCTTCATCGCTCTCATCCACCACCACCTCCATTATCACTCTTCTAGTTCTCCGCCATGAGATTAGTGGAGAATGGACGGCGCCACGTCATAGTGGCCAGATCTGCAGTCGTTGAATCTACAGCTATCAAACCATTCAAACTGCAACGCCGCCGCCGCCACCACCGAAGATTCAAGTGGATAAAAAGTCCCCATCATCGACACACGATTGTTGTTTAGCTGCAACCGCGCCCTAGTGAATGGTTCAATGTGGGTCAAAGGAAATGGCATTGAAGCTGACTTCTCTCGGGTTGGTTCTTGGAGAAAATGGCGTGAGTAGTTGAACCACCGTCATTGTTAAAGGAGGCTGATTTTCGCTTGTGGCCACCGCCTCTCCGCCTTGAGGTGGGCTACTTCAAGACTCTGGGGGCAAAGTCTTTGGAGGTTTCCACTGAGTTACGTTGGCGGGCAGCGGTGAAGTTCAAGTTGAGTCTCTTGTCTTGTATGTTTTACGGTTTTGACGTGAAGTTCCCCTAAAAATTGGGGGAGTTTTGCAATGGGTGGATTGGGGTACGATGGATACATTAGAAAGTATATTGAGTCTCGACCTAAAAAAATCGGCTTGTTAGGGAGAATTGCCCTCATCTTATTAAGTGGATCGTGTAAATATCACCAGTCAATGTGAGACTCTAATACGCCCCCTCACGCACAGCGTGGACCATGCCAAACAATTGTGAACAAATCGATATTTGGTGCACCCAACATTATAAAACTGGGTCTACTCTAATACCATATTTGAAATGATATTGGGTCTAATTCAACCTAACAAAATCGGCTTGTTAGGAGAGGATTGTCATCACCTTATTAAGTTGATCGTGTAAATATCACCAACCAATGTGGGACTCTAATATGATATACAAGATGTTTGAAAAAAATAAAATCATCATACCTAATTTATGAAATTGAGCATCAGTTTGGTAAAAATTTAAATCAAAATCAACAATTAATTTTAACTACACATTTTGTGGGATCCATAACTTTTTAAGCACACATTTCATCAATATTTATTAAAATTTATTAAAAATCTAATATTAATCCTCACTAAACAAGGGCAAAATCTAAAAATGTAGGATTTGAGATAATTTTTCCTTCTAAAATATGGGTGCTGAAAATATGATAATCTATCATGAGAATTAAGATAGAAAAAACTTAATAAAAATATTAGAGAAACAGGATTTTTTTTTTTTTTTTAAAATAAGGCTTGATTTTTCATTTTCGAAAGATACAACCAGGTCCCAGTCTAATAATCTCAATTGAATTTGTATTTTAAATTACTATGGATTCGTGGATTAAGTAATTTTTATATATATCCAAACAATAGTTTGAATGCTGCTTTTCTTTTCTTTTTAGTAAACAAAATACATTCCGGAAAGTAATTTTCCTTTATTATCAAATAGATAACCTATTCTACCAATAAAAAAATATCATTCATATAAAATTACTCAAAAAGGATTTTTTTAAGCATAAAAAAGTCACTTTATCAAATATAATTTTAAAGTTACTTTATTTTTACAAACCGAATTTACTTTTTCATAAAAAACACAAGTCTTTTGAGTAATATAATGGTAGAGTCATGTTACTTGTACAAAGTTAGGTTACAAAATTGGTTTACAGAATACGTGTTGACAACATTTTGACAAATGATTTAAAAGACAGTTTTTGAAATCAATGACATTGATCTTGCCACATCATTTTGTCAACATATCTTTGAAAACCACCTTTGTACGAGTAGCATAATTGTTATAACGATGGACCCCTACTTTTCCCTAACAGAAGCTAGTACCTTCGACAGTTCCTTAATGACAGCCGTTCCACAAAAGCTAGAAAGTAGAAAAAGTAGCCATTGGTCACAAGATTTAAGGCACTTTCTTTTGAAATAAATAAGCCTATAATGACCACATTATGAAACCCACGTCCCCATTAACAGCTCAACTGTCCCTTAACTGCCAGCTTCTAATCCTACTCTACCCTTCACTCCATAATTCATCTTCACTTTTTCCCTAGCAATCTCACAAAATTCAAACACAATAAGTTAAGATTCCTCGATAAAAATGAAGTGGGGGAGAAAGAAATCTGCGTCTTTAATCAGTCGTGTTTTTAGCATTTCTTGGCTCTCCAAATTGAGGGAAAAAAGTGCCAATTCTGAGCCTACTTCAGCAAAGATGAAGCAGAAGGGGAAATGGGATTTGCCATCTCCGAGTTCATTAGCACCTGCTAGTTGCAAACAACGTAGCTTCTGTAGCAGCATGGATTACGACAGTCATTGGAGGCTTTCTTCGTGTGGTGAAGAACGAATCCAAGGTAGGATGAGCACAGGTGGAATTAATTGTCTTCTGTATGATTCTGATGATGAGATTAAATTCCCAATAAAAGGAATTCAGAGCTTCGACGACACAGTTCTGGACATAAAGAGAATGAAAGAAAAGCAACATCAGGTGAGAATTCTAAATGGGGAATCAGAATTCATAGCACCAAGTAGAAAACCTGAGAACGATCCAAATTCAAAAGGATCAAGTAGAAGGGTCTTGAAAGAGAAACTAGCAGAACTGAAAAGAGAGACTGATAAACAAGAAGAAAAATCATCCACATTAGTAGAGAAAGATATACTTGGAATAGAACCAGAAATTGTGATCCAGAAGAAAGATAAGAATTTTCACAGGTCTACAGGTTCTCATGCAAGAAGACTGCACAGATACTCTTCCTCCAACTCCAATCTAAGCACAATTCAGGAAAATTGTGACTTTTGGGCTCCGAATTTGGATGAATGTAATGCAACTTCAGAAAAGAAATCAAGTTCAGAATGCAAAATCAGAACCCTTCAAGAAATGAAGAAAGCAAGAACGAAGTTAAAAATGAAGACAAAGGAGAAAACTGTTGCAGTTGAGGACAAAACGGTCTTTGATAGCTTTGCTGTGGTGAAGAGTTCATTTGATCCACGCAATGACTTCAGAGATTCAATGGTTGAGATGATCACAGAGAAAGGAATTAAAAGGCCTGAAGAGCTTGAAGAACTCCTGGCTTGTTATCTAACATTGAATTGTGATGAATACCATGATCTCATAATCAAGGTCTTCAGGCAGGTATGGTTCGATCTGAACCCAAAGTATATAAACCCTGCAATACATAATGATCACTGTTTTGGTGATTATTAACTCGACAGCTAAGTACCAGAGATCTTGTTATGGATTGTAAATACTTCTTTATGGTATCCTTGTACAGAATTGATCTGTTCAGAAGAAGCATAATGCATATTGTTGTGCAAAAAGATCATTTCCTTGAGTTGTTGATGTCTCCTATGTTTGGGACATTTTCTATTTCTGTGCATGTTCAAAAAATACAGACTTCTTTTTATTTTAAACAGAAAAGAAACTATGAATTAACAGAAATGATTTTCGTATGAAAAAAAGATTAATTTCAGACAAGAACGCAGAAAAAAGCCAGAGACTGTGGTATTTATCTATTCAATCAGTATCATGTGTGTGTTGAACAGCGAAAAGTACCTGAATTTAACACCATAATATGCACAGAAATGGTAAACTCAGCAAATGAAATCTTTATATATCGAAAAGTGCATCCAACAAAAAGAGTAGCACCCAACCTACTATATCAAGTTCTCTCAGCTGGAGTAAGATGGCGTTCCGCAAAGTTACCAACACTTCTCATATTCCACCAGTTTTTCCCATGATCAACTACTTTGTTTTCGTTTTTGCTGTCGTCCGTATCTTTCCTTTCTGACTGAAATTCAGACTCATCATTTGAACCAGGATTTTCAGTAAGGAATTGTTCCCAGAATACATCATTGACACCCGCTCGCACATTGGTAGCCATCCCAACAGGCTGTTCTCCCAAGGAAGGTTGCACTTCAGGAATAATGGCAGGGTCAGGCTCAGAATTCATGTCAATCCAACAGGTCTTAGATCCAATATCAAAATTTAGTCGTGTGGAAGAAATAGTGACGCTATCTGCACAAACTGTAGATTCATCCAACTCCAGTGATGTATTACGATGCACTAAACCTTCATCAATATCAAGTACTATGTTCTCCCATAGTCTTAAAGAAGACTCCAGCTTCTCTGTCAATTCTTTGATGAAATTCAAAATTGAAGTCATATTTATATTTTCTCTCGAGGAATTTTGAGAAGATTCCATATAATTATCTTCCTTGCTGGTTTCATTATACAAGCAACTGGTACCAGGAGATCTTCTTTTTCTATCATGAATCTCCCTTTGCAGAGTGAGGTTTAAAGTAACAGCTGGTTGGTCCAATGTTAGAGCCAGCGAGGACAACATATTTTTATGATTTTGTTCTACATGTTGCAAACGTTCTGTCAAACCCTGCATTTGTAATTCAAGTGCATCTCGATCCTGTTTATGTCTCTGTACTTCCAAATGAAGCGATTCTTTATCATGTTTTAGCCTCTCAATATCATCCTTATAACCTTCCCTCTCCGATTCAGTTAAAGGGGGTAAAGAAGCCAGATTTACCGTGGAATGACTGTGAACAGGCTTGCGTCTACGAATGTTCTTCAAAAGGTGGGGCTGACCTCTAACAAAATCCTCATTTGCAAATTCCCATTGTTCAGGATCAATTTTCCTGAAACCCTGGTAAACAAAAAGAGGCAAACATATAAAACATCAATATATAACTAGAGAATGTAAATACATATGTAATATATGTTAAACTCATTAACAAAGAAGAAAATGCTTTACATATGTATTGAGCTGCCTAATAAAGCTGGAGAAGTTGTTGTGCTTGAAGAATCTGGGCAGAAGAACCCTTGCAAATTCTGGAGGATTCCAAACAATGAAGCTTTTATTGCTCTGACTCCAGGACACAACAGAGTTCGAGGAATGATCATCAACCATCTCATAGGTCTTTTCAAGAAAAGGAGGCAATGAATATGATGGAGCTTCATCCATCATAAATTTATCCAACTATCCAATCAGCAGATATCAACAGGGAAGAAACCAAAATCACTGGCCTAAAACAACCCTAATTATCAAATTAAGCTCCACAATTCACGACCCCAAAATCCTTTTAAATTTAACCAGTGTCAACATTATCGCATTCTTATCATTCCAACACAAACAAAACCTACAATCAATTCCAGACACACAAAAGATGAAGTTGATACATTAACTTTAACAGATTTACTTCTTTGCGCCACTCTCTTTCAAATTCAACAAGTTATCAATTACTTTGAAATATCCATGTAAATACCCTAGAATTCTTCCTCTCAATTCCTCTTAAATATCAATAAACCCCAATTCTTTTTACAATCCAAATTTCAACCCAAATGGCTAAGAAAGCCAATCCAATGCCTCTCAGCATTAATTCCCTGCATTTATATCCAAAAGCATAATAAAAATCAAAATAGATATAAAGAAAGGAAATTCACGAATTGCATATCAAAGTCGTTAGAGCGTCAACTGTCTAAATACATAAGGAAATCCACGAATTGCATATCAAAGTCGTTAGAGCGTCAACTGTCTTGGTCATCAAGCAAAGCATCAAATGTAACATAACCAAATTCATATCCACCAAGACTACACACGCATATTGCAGGCATGAATTTCTTGGAGTTTTTTATTACCTGAGAGAGGAAGAAGAATCCGTCACAGGAGTAATTCTCAAGAGTCTCAACGGTCCGTTGGTTTGTTGGGACTTTTGGGTTTTATATATTACTGCAATCAATGTAAAATCCACATTTCGAGGTGGAGAGAGGCAGGGATTTTCTAGGGTTTTGACATTTTTCAATTATTGTGGTTGGTTTGGGGCAAACAAATCCTATCCTATAAACCCGCGAAGTAAGTTGACTGCAAATATGCCCTTGAGCTTTTATAAGTGATAAACATATCCACGATATTTCCCAAATTGCTTTACAGCTTGCTTGACACCCCCTTATGAGACACAATTTGGGCAATAATGTGAAAGATTATCGGGAAATCAAAGTGTTGCACCCATACTGGCCAAGGCCCAAAAGGTAAAGAAAGGACCCAAGCCCATTTGGTCAATGCACCATTACCGAAGCCCGATGTGCTCCCGAGGCACTATTGCCGAAGCCCAACATTATCGAAGTATTGAACAAATTGATAGATTTCCAACGCTAAAACATTACTTATTCAAATCGAAACTTCGAAGCCCATACCTCAAATCAAGGCTCAATAACGTAAAATCTAGGGATGGCAACGGGGCGGGGAGGCCGCCCCGTCCCCGCCCCATTACCCGTTTAAGGCGGGGTGGGTCATTTCCCCGTTTAAATTTTTTTTCGATAATTTATTTTTATTGCCCATATTCATTAGATTTAGACAAATAATTTTAGTTCTATTTTCTGTTAGACCTAATGAAAATTTCATTTAAAGTATTGAATTCTAAAAAAAAAATTAAAAATTAAAAAAAAATTTAACTGGGTGGGGCGAGGCCCCCGTGAACCTTCCCTGCCCCCCACCCGGAACCCGCCCCGTTACCCGATTAAGCGAGTTATCCTCGTCATGTTCGGGGTAGGGCCCCGCGGGTATCGAGTTTGTTGAGTTTTTTTGTCCCTAGTAGAATCCGAGATTTAACCTCAATAAATGATTGACCTACAATTGAAGATCTTAAAGTATAAAAGATCTTCTTGAAATGATTTATTTGACAACTGAAATAGATGGAAAAGTTAGCCATGTCAACACAGGGCATAAGTTGGTTGTCCTCTACAGAAGCATTTAAGGCTCCCCAACGCTAAAACAGCTTGAAATGATGCCTATGAGATGATGTTTTACTCAAGGAGATGAGGCCATGTATCCCCTATTTGATGGTTATCATTGTACATGTAATACTACAAATAAGCTCTCTTAGTGTCATAGAAGAGGTTGGAAAAAAAATGAGAGATCAAAAAACACAAATATACTCTCTCTTTTCGAGACTGTAATTTCAAAGAAGAACACTGCGTAATATCGGAGTTTATTCAGTTTCTTATTTAATCGTTCATTATCGTATATTTTCGTTCTTTTATTTATCGGATCCTTAACATATTTGTCTCGTGTCAAAAGCTCCCACGTTTTAACTCAATATTTTTGACTAGTAATCTGTCAACACGTGTCGAAATTAGCTTGCCAAAACACGAGTGAGCCCGGTATTTGTTGTCATATTTTTTATGGTCAACAGATTAACGTATGTGGGAATCCCTACTAAAAATCACGAACGTCTCCGTGGGAAAAGCTTACTAGGAACGAGTTGGGCATCTCCTTTGAAAGGGGACTTGTTCTTGAAAAAAGAACAAAAGGAAGCCCCAAAAGTTAAGAAATCTTTCAAATGAGATGAGTTCAGACCGTGAAGTCCCTTCCAGGAAGGTAAGAGAGAATCCTACTGAAGAGGCTCTGCCAATGGCCACCCCAACTGTTCGACGCCGACCTCACCACCATTACAACGTGGTGGATGAGGTTAGTTAACCAACTTACCTAGGAGGTAGCAACTATGGTTGCCAACATGAGAAACACCACCCACCAAAATATGGCCATGCAAGAATTTTTCACACAAATGCAAGGTCGGAGAGGTCCTCATATTCCCCCTTATGCGCCACATTATCCTCAAGAGGATACGGCCCAATGTCAAAGTGTCCCATCCCCTAGGTGAAACTGAGAAGTATTCCCCAATAAAAGGGAATGAAGAGTGGACGTCTCCTCAAACTACGCCTCCGGTTGACCCACTGAGGCCCAGGCAGACATGGAAGATGTTTTTTCCCTGAATATGAACCCGAGTATATGCCACAAAGTCCGAAAGTGTATTTGATAGGATCAACCCTCTAGAAACTAGGCATGGGACAACCCAACCACAGCTTGAGCCTCGAAATAGGCCTCAACCACCACCTCCTGAAATTCAGCAGTCAGAGGAAAGGCAGGAATATGCTCTCCTGGTTACAGTGCCTAGAAATCGACAACATGGGAGGGAGAAAGCGAGAGACCAAGCAGGCCCATCATATCTCCTACCAAGATATCAGGTTGATGAAGATGATCAAATCCCCAAAGATCGTGCGACTTAGATGATGACGATGAAAGCTTACATTTTTCACAAGAATTGAGGAATACGCCTATCCCAAGCCATTATGTGCCACCAAAAATACAAAAGTACGATAGAAAATGTAACCCGACCAAACATCTAAATAGTTATAAAATGCACATGAGCCTGAGAGGCCCCTCCTCTGCTGTCAAATGCAGAGCCATCCACCTCACTTTGAGTGGAGCGATCGAGATTCGGTACGTTAGGCTCCCCCTAGGATGTATTCGGAGCTGGCCGCAATTTAAGACTACATTCTTGAAGAGGTTTACTGTAAGAAAAGAGGGAGAAGCTCCCATCCAACACTTTCAGGATAAAAGGTAGTAGTCTGGAGAAACATTGAAAAACTTTCAGCCCGCTTCACTAACGAAATGACATATTGTGTTCAGGTTACAGACCGGGAATCGTTATCTGCATTAAGAGGCAATTTTGACATGAAAACCCTATTTCGGAGGGATATGCAAAATTAGGACCCTATCGCTACGACGCTTTTCTCGAAATGATTAGCTGAGAAATCATTAATGAAGAATTAATTGACCACCAGAATCGAGCTAGCAGAAGTTTCCCACCTCCACAGAGACAACGTGGGAAAAGGGCCAACCTTCCATATAATTGATTATCAATGGAACCAGGCTGGAAATAAAATTGCCCTAATGCTGGACAGTCACTTGCCATGGCTACACTGAACGTCGTAACCACAGTGGCTTACAAAGATATGGAGCCCGGGATAAATGAGCAGTAGAATGAATCTAGACAAAGGATCCTTCAAAGAGGAAGAGGCCGATGGCAGGGCTTGAAACCCATAAATAGGCTAAACACCTCTTAGTATTGCTCTTACCATCATTCTTATAGCCACTATACAGCAGATTGCAGAGAAATTGCTCTACATCAAAGATAAATAAATGTACAAAATGACCAAAGAAATGTCCATCCCCTAGAGACACATCCCCACCAAGGTAGGATAATAGGCCTAGGTGCAAAGAGGCAACTCATCGTTAGGAGTTATCTCCACGACAAAGAAGGAACTGCGATAGAAAAGAACTTAGGGAGGGGCAGCGGTAACATAGGAATCTTTCGATTAATGAAAGAGATGCTCCAATCCACGAGATTGATACTATTTTTGGAGAACTTTATGTTAGAGGTGACACATGAAACTCCCAGAGGAACTATGCAAGAGAGGATACAGTTCCCCCGATGACGAGTTGCATAGTGGATAATAGTTTACAAGGGAGACCATTGCCCCCATATCTTCCACTCGGTAGATACCAAGGGAATACACTATCCCCACTATGATGCTCTTGTGGTAAGGGCAGTCGTGGCTCGAAATGGGTTAAAACAGACGTTGATCGATAATGGCAACTCCATCTCCTGTTTGGGACCACTTTCGATAAAATGATTGTCGATTGTGAGGTAACCCCATCACAAGCCCCTTATACGACTTCACTGCAGATAGCATTGTCCCATGAGGAAAGATTACCCTTGTCTTAGAGATGGGAGAGCCACCTCAAAAAACTTTAATTTCATGGAATTCCTAATAGTAGATAGCAAGTCAACCTATGATGGGTACTAGGGAAGCCTGCTTTGAAAGACTTATGGGCAGTCACTTCTATTCACCAACTATGTATGAAATTTTCCACCAAGTAGAGGATTGCCACTGTGAAGGGTGACCAAAGAGAAGCTCGAGAACGCTACTTAAATTTTATAAGAAAGGTTAAACCAAGGAATGTCAACATGGTACTTGTACACGTCCACTTGGTAGACGTTTAAGAACAAAATCCTGAGTAGGAGGATGTCGAGATGACAGATGCCGCCAAATGACCAACCATGCTTGATGAGTTGGACCTACGTATCATTGAATTTGAATCCTAGACCGCTTTAGTGGAAGAGATGGAAAGTTTTCCAGTAGACTCGTAAGATTCTAATAAAAAATTACAAGTGGGAAAGAACCTGCCACCTGGGGCCAGAAGGAACTAAATGATTTTTTTATGTAAAAACCTTGATGCTTTTGCTTCGAGGTACAAAGATATGATAGGCATTGACCCAAAGGTCAGTTGCCACCACCTGAAAATTGATCCAGAGATAACCCGCACAAATAAAAAGGAAGAGCCTTCAACCCGAAAAGGTATGAGGCCCTTAAGGAAGAAGTGCAAAAGTTAATCCAGAATGGATTTATCTGAGAGGCCATTTACCCCAAATGGGTCTCCAACCTGGTACTGATAAAGGAACATAATAGTAAATGAAGGGTGTGCATTGATTTTTCCAATCTAAATCAGGCTTGCCCAAAAGATAGTTTTCCCTTCCCGAGAATTGACCAACTCGTGGACTCCACCGCCGGACATAAGCTCCTAAGCTTTATAGATGCATACTCAGGTTACAATCAAACTCATATGGACCTAACAGACGAGGAAAATACCTTATTCAACTAATAGAGGTCTATATTGCTACATGATGATGCCATTTGGGTTAAAAAATGCCTGTACTACCTACCAAATGCTCGTTAACAAAATGTTTGCAAACCTTATCGGCAATACTATGGAATTCTACGTGGATGCCATGCTGGTAAAAAGTCTGAAGGCAAACGGTCATCTGAAGCACTTGGATAAAACCTTTCAAACCCTCCAAAGGTATAGGATGAGGTTGAACCCCCTTAAATGTGCATTTGGTTGTTTCTAATGAAGCCATTAGTGCGGTTCTCATACGAGAAGAAGTAGCCCTTCAATTGCCTATTTACTGTGTGAGTAAAGCACTACTAGTAATGAAAACTCACTATCATGACATGGAAAAATTGGCTCTAACACTAATCACAACCCCTAGGAAACTGAGCCCATACTTTCGAGCTTATACTATACATGTGCTGACCAACTTCCCACTCAAGTAAATGCTCCAAAAACTTGATACCTTTAGAAGAATGTTGAAATTGGCTGTTAAGCTCAGTGAGTTTGATATTATCTACAAATCGAGAACGACCATCAATCGTTAGGCCCTTGCCGATTTTGTTGCAAAATTCTCCAAAATCCTAGAGATGGAATAAATAAG